CGACTCGGCTGCGCCGCCTCCTCGCCGCCGAGTGCTGCGAGCGTCGAGCGAGTCGCCGGCGAGCCATCCGCCACAGCCTTAGCTGCCGGTCCACGCACTCCCAGGCACACGAAGGGACCCAGCAGCGTCGCCGCACGCGTCTGAGCCACGCGTAGGCGATGCAAACAGGCTGTGACATCACCTGGCAGAGCCTCGACGACTGCTCGGTGCGGAGTGTACTGTTGCGAGGCGCCGCTGGGCGGCGGCGCGCGGCTCCTCGCTGCTTCGGCGCGCCGCGCTGGCGCTCTGCGGCGAACGGTGCGCTCGCCGTTGCCTCGCTCGTGGACGTCCCATCGAAGCACGCGGTGCGGCGCCTCTCGGTGGGCCCGTTGCGCCTCTCACTCCCACACACTCCCTGCTCTCTCCCGACCTCACTCCACGGTCGTGATCGTGGCGGCGATGCGCCGCAGGCGCTCGTCAACACGCGCGCGGCCGTCCCGCCGCGTCCAGGCGGCAAGCGCACCGTGCCATGCCCGTGCGGTGACGCTGCCACCGACAGCGCCACCACACCACACTCACGTGCCGCGAGGAAACGCCGCCACGTCGTGTGCGTGGCGCAGCTATCACTGGCGGCCGGCGCTCGTCCGGGTGATGGTGTCGCGGGCCGGCGCTCCAGTGTGTTGTCGAGATTCCGTTTTTGGAAAATTCATTCGAAAATTCTTTTCTTTTGAGCTTCTCACGTGGGATTGGTTACGAAACAAACGCAAGGTGGACAAACACATGAAAGATCACTCTCAAGATACGGCTCTATCCTGCACACCCGCCGCCTTGAGAGGGAGCGATCACTTGCGGCGGGGGCGCAAGTCGCGGTGGGCCTCGTTGTCCGACTGGAGGGGGAGGGTTGGCTCTGTCTGCACACCTGACGAGCTGGCCGCACCACCGCTTGTGCAGGGTGCGTCTGACATCAGCGAGTCTAGGCCTGGGTTTGGCTTGTGCTCGTCGTCATCAGAGTCGCCAAACAGGTCGTACTGCCTCACGTCGGCCAGAGGCCCAGAGCCGCTGATGGGCTGCAGCAGGCGGGGCAGGGGTGGCGTCAAAAAGGATGAAGAAGGGGCGGGAGGGGGGGGGGGGAGGGGGGGGGGCTGAGCACCGGCGGCTTGAGGTCAGGCGCGAAGCCGAGGAGAATCTTTTCGTTGAGGACTGTCTCCAGTGAGGGCTCACCAATGATCTTGCCGCGGAGGTGCCGGTTGTAAAGTATGTTTGCCAACGTGTCGGCGGCGACGTGCTCCAGGAAGTAGTCGTCAGCCGCAGCGAGCACGCCCAGGAAGTCGATCTTCTCTTGCACCGGCATGGTGGCGGTCTTGAGCGTCTCGTGGATCGGCGTGATGGACGAGTCGTCGCGCCCCGTCGGATCCCACGCGCACTGGCCGAGGAGCTCTTGCAGCAGGCGCAGCTTGTCGGGCTGGTCGGGCGCCCGAATCAGGGCGCAGACAGCCTGCGTTTGCGCGAGCACGGCGCTCTCGGCCTCCTTGTTGTTGTGCCAGGTCGCGGCGAGCCCCGCCGCAAAGGGGCCGTCGAGACGGAGCAGCGCCTCGGACACAATCGGCACGCCGCCAGCAAAGGCTACGTCCGGCTGGATGGTGTACGTCCGGATGGCCCGCCCAGACGCGTCAAGGATCGCGTGAGCAGGGTGTGCAACGCGGCGGACCATCTCGCAGGCTAACTTTCTTTTTGATAGCACTTTCCTGAAGCCTTCACGAGTACCTCTGACTGTACTGAAAAAGAAGAAACGCAGATCGGCACGTGAGTATGCCCCTCTCCTTACCGACCGCTGTCAACAACGGGGAGGAGATACCGCACCCTGGGCTACAGCAGCTTCCAGACCTGGTCGTGGGCCTCTGGCAGGCGGCAGAGGGGCGCATGATTGCGCGGTATCTCATCCATTGGGCGCGCGGCCACCAGGGAGGCTGCGCCTGCGCGACAGCTGAGGATGCGGACACGCTCTGCTGCGACAACCGGTTTTTCGACGCGTACAACCTCGAGGACCCCGTCCTGACGGCAGCCGTGGAGTCGCCTGAGTTCAGGGCCGCGGCCGAGCGGGTCTGGGCGAGCTTCTCCGTCTCCGCAAACAAGTGCCTCAAGCAGTGGGGAATCCTCGGTCAGTACCTCGCACTTTGGCAGCAGAGGGCAAGCACATCCGACGACGTCGAGAACGTGCACGAGCACGGGGAGTGTTGGACCCCCTTCGATTCGCTGCAGCACGGACCCAACGGCCACCCCGAGGGCATACCCCGCGACTCCAAGGCGGTGACGTTCTACAACTGCAACAACATTGTGATGGCCAAGATCAACGTGGAGGGGTCATGGGACCTCCTCAACGCTGCCCCAGGCGACTTTGGCGATGGCTTCATTTTTTGGGTCAACTTCATTCTGATTGAGGTGGCCCACCACCCTGCCCAGATGCGCCCTCTCGCCCGTCTCTCTCACCCGCTCTGCTTGCCCTCCCGGGCACTCATAGGATGGCCGGGTCAAGGGCTCCCTGGAGTGGCACTTTGACAAGTCGCTGCTCGAGGCCAACGAATTCTGGAAGGTAGGCCCCAAACTTCTCAGTATGGCTGGTCCGACAGACCACACCCTGCAGGGCCGCGTCACCGCAGAGGCCGCGGTGCAGCTGCTCACACGCATGTGTGACAAGGCCTCCAGCCAGGCCAACCACGGACTCCGACTCAAGATGCGGCTCCACCAGTGGAGCCAGTAGGCCCTCCACCACCCTGTCTGTTGTGTGATGACGCAAGGGTCCCCCCCCCCTTGTCCCGCCGCCTCATGTGTGGGGAGAAGCTCAACTTACGTTTGTGTTGCTTTTCTGTCGTTTGTGTTATAGTCAGAAGCTGCGCAGGCCGTCTCGTTTGCAAAAAAAAACCGTTTCCCACAACATGTGCCACACACGGCGGCTCCGGCCGCGGCACCTCTCGATGGGTTCCACTTTCTACGCACACCGCCCACACGCACAGGGGATCACAGTGGGTCTCACGTAGATCACATACCCTCTCACGAGACACAGGCCCTAACCGCAAACACCGGGGAAGGGGCGCTTGGGAGCGGGGGCGGGGGCGGGGGCGGGGGCGGGGGCGGCGGCGCGCGCGCGCGAGGGGTGGGGACGCTGCCGTGCGCGCTGCGCGCGTACGCGCGCACCACACACCACACGGAGGGAGAGACGGCGAGGAGGCGGCGGCGGCGGCGGCGGCGGCAGCGCGCGCGCGGCGCGCGCGACGGCGGGGGGGCGGAGCAGCGACCGCTGGCGCGGCCGCTGCTCCGTCTGTGCCAGACACGCGCGCTCTGCGCCGCTGCACAGAGCGCGCGTCAGGAAGGGGGCAAGCGTGGCGGCGCGGGACGCGCGGCGGCGGCGGCGAGCAGGCGAGCGCTCCGTGCGCGGTGAGGCGGCCGGGCGAGGGCGCGGCGGGTGACGGGTCAAGGGAGCAGCCCACACCCGGCGTCGCTTTTTGAGCGACGCTGTGGTACGCCTGCGCAGGGGCCGCAGGGCGGTCAGTGGTGGGGCGAGGCGGTGCCGGCCGCGGGCCGGGTGCAAGGCGCCGGCCTCGGCGCCGCCTCGGCGCGCCGCACGGGCCGCGGCGGGTGACGGGTCAAGGGAGCAGCCCACACCCGGCGTCGCTTTTTGAGCGACGCTGTGGTACGCCTGCGCAGGGGCCGCAGGGCGGTCAGTTGTGGGGCGAGGCGGTGCCGGCCGCGGGCCGGGTGCAAGGCGCCGGCCTCGGCGCCGCCTCAGCGCGCCGCACGGGCGCGGCGAGCCTCTGAGCGGGAGCCGAAGGTTAGCCGTGGTGGGAGGTGGTAGGTGGGTGGTGGGGTGAGTTGACTTTGCCGCAGAGGCCGTGTCCCTAGCTGTGAACAGCAAAACGAGACAGTATAAAATTCTTTCCGGGTTTGCCATGTCCGAGGCTGAGGCGCGCGAGGCTACCATCACCGAGATCTTGCACCTACAACGCGCGCTTGAGGAGATGAACTCAAAGATCTCTGAGGTCTCCACCGCAAATGCCGCCATCGCTACCGAGAATGAAACACTTGCCGAGTACATCGACCAACTCATGAAGCGCGCAGTATCGTTGGGCGGGCTGATCACCAGCAAAAAGCAGCAGGCTAGGAGTCCGAGGCACCACCCCTCCAGCAGCCGCCGCAGCGCCAGGACGAGCGAGCGAGCGCCGACTGCGCGTACGAGCCTCAGCTCAGGCGCCGTACCGGCGCCGCCGCCGCCACTGCAGCCGCCGCCGCCGCCGCCGCCGCCGCCGCCGCCGCCGCCGCCCCCACCGCCAGCCGCACCCCCGCCGCCACCTGCACCTCCGCCACCGCCACCCCAAACTGTGCCTGCACCAGGCGATCACACTGCATCGGATGGAGCCAGCAGTGTGGGTAGAGTGGCGAAC